TCCTCTCTCTCTCTCTCTCTCTCTATATATATATATATATACTATATATATATATCTATATATATATATATAAATATATATATATATATACATATACATATATATTGGGTGCGTGCTTGCGTGTGTGTGTGCGCGTGTATTTGTGTCTATGTATGTGTGTACGCGTGCGTGCGCGTGTGTGCGTACGTACGTGAGTGCGTGCGCAACGTAACTATACTGTTTAGCAAATAATTCCCTATTGCGAAAGTGACCTTGATCCTGGATCTTGGATATACCTGAGTCATACACGAGTAGGTAGGTATTTAACACAGCCCGGGGCAAACACAGCAGCGCAGTGAAAGTCTGTACTCAGTCCAGGCAAGTGCTCTCAACCGTAAGGCTCTAACGATGGCTGTTGTAAGTGTGGCAACGTGGCTCGCGCCTATGAACTTGGCTATCGTGGCGGTAGCCCTGTTTCTTGGCTACTTTCTACTGAGACCAAACCGCTGGCGGGGTAACCCACCGCCCGGCCCCAGCGGGTGGCCCGTCGTCGGCAGCATGTTCGAACTCGGCAACCGACCGGTGATCTTTTTTAACAAGATGTCGGAGCGATACGGAAATATATTCAGTTTGAACATGGGCCAGAAGCGCGTAGTTGTTGTCAACAGCTACGAGACGTGGGCAGAGGCTATCGTAGAGAAGGGGCACATCTTTGCCGACCGGCCCGACCTAGCCTCTTTCAAGCTACAGGAAGCTGGGGACCAAAGTCGCGGTGTGGCATTCACAAGAGCTTCGGAAATACAACGCAAGAAAATCAAATTCGTTCGTGCGGCTTTTAATCCGGCCATTCCTGAAGTCGCCGAAAGGTTTTACACGATTCTGTCGAGTGAAGTCGCGTTGCTAATGCAGGACATCGCCAAGGAAAATGGTAAACCGTTCGACCCACATCACGTGATTGAGTTCTGTTACGTCAACATCATCGGAATGTTGCTTTATGGAAAAATCTTTCAAGAAAGAAACGAGCAGTACATGAAATGGGCGGCTACGTTCGTTCGCAGGTTCGTATCGCCCCTTCTCTCTCCTCTTTCTCACAAACACACACACACACTAGCGCCACGCCGCCAGCGCGCACTGCCACGCACGCACGCACGCACGCACGCACGCACACACACACCTACACACACACACACTACACCACCCACACATATAGTAATATTATACACTCTCTCTTTATCTATCTATCTATTATCTATCTATCTAATTATGCTATCTATCTATCTATTCTATCTATCATATCTATCTAGCTATCTATCTATCTTATATCTATTCATATCTATCTATCTATCTATCTTATCCTATTCTAATATGTTTATATATATTATATATTTCTCTCCTCTCTTTTACACATTCCACTCACCATCGCGCCCTCGTTTGCATTTGTTCACTAACTAGCATTTCACCCGTTTTCTACACTCTCTCCTCGTACCCTCTTCTCTCTCCCACCACACGACCACAGAGGAACACACACACGCCACGCGACGCACACACACACACACAACACACACACACACACACACATCACAGCACACCACACACTAACACACAGCACCACGTACGCACGCACACACATCACACACACACACACCACACCACACACACACCACATAACAAACACACACACACCTCTCTCCTCTCTCTCTCTCTCTCTCTCTCTCCTTCTCTCTCTCTCTCTCTCTCTTCTCTCTGCTGTCTCTCCTCTCCTGCTCTCTCCTCTCTCTCTCTCTCTCTCTCGCCTTTAGTTCTATCTAGACCGCATTTCCACTTCTGTGTCTTTTGAATCGCTGTTTTCACTCGTACCCGATAACAGTTTAATGCCGCGATACGAACCTTTGAACAAACGTAGCCGAACCCTTCATGTACTGCTCGTCTCTCTCTTGGAAGATTTTCCCATAAAGCAACATTCTGATGATGTTGACAAACTGATAAATTTCCGTAACGTTCGGACATCTTGTTAAAAAAGATCTTCCGGTCGGTTGCGAGTTCGACATGCTGCCGACGACGGGCCACCCGCTGGGGACCGGGCGGTGGGTATACCCACTAACGGTTTGATTTCATAAGCCAGTATCCAACTAACACGGCTACAGCCAGGATAGCCAGGTTCATAGGCGCGAGCCAGGTTGCTGCAGATGCTAAATCAAAATCCATCGTTGAGCCTCGAAGTTGTTTTATGCTTTTCCTAGGTGAGCAGGCCGCTTATATTCGGTGCTGCCATCACCGCAGGCTACAATAAATTGCCACTCGCCAAGGACGTGGGAAATGGAAATATAATGGAAGTTTTCTCCAGTCATTGTCCGCAACTAAGCACTTGCGAGTGTTCAAGGCTATTTACTAATGCATATATCCACTATATCCACTTTATATCTACTCATGCATGCAAATAACACAAGCAAATTTATCAGCCAATGGGGCGGTGATTATAAGCATTCTTGTCTACATTCAGGTGACATACAAGATAGGAATTTATTTAGTTATAGTGTCTATGAATACGTGTGTTCGTTCTTTCATGTGTTCATATATTCATATATACATCTAATCTTCATCATTGTGTCCCGGGGGGCGGCACTCCCTACAAATTAGAGTGGGTATATGTGCCACTGAGAGATGGAAATTGGGGTCGGGGGGGGGGGTCTTAGGTACTAGGTTTGCTGGACAGCATGATGCTCCGGAACTGGACATATGTTTCCGAGAGTGGGTCTTCGGAACGTGCGGAAAAAAGTAGGACCTATGCTTCGGGACGGTAAATATGTCAAAAAGGGGGTATCCGGTGTGAAAATTTTGAGGTGTAAAGGTAGGTAATAACCGCGGCACATACCTACCATACAATATATAGGGAGTGCCCCCTCGCCGGGCGCGAAATATTTTTTCCCAACAGGTGTTTACCACTAGTTACAAGTAAAATCGCTGCCTCCTGAGTGGTTCCAAGGCAGGCCACTATATTCCCCCCGCCACGCGGGGCACGTGTTCACATGTGTTTGCTTATTTAGCATATGTCATGTTATATGTTACATATTACCTATATAGCTGAGAGGTTAGAGCACCTGCGTTACTTTTGAAAGGGCGATTGTTCGAATCCCGTTTGGTTTTTAATTATTTTTTTGTTTTCTGTATTTTTCTATCTTTATCCATTTAAACTCTTGTTTTCCGAATTAACCGAAATATTTGCTGATTGATTACAACATTATATATTCTAAATAAAATTTTTTTTTATTAATTTCATTTCATTTATTGCCAGTGTTAATTAAAATTTAATTAGGCGTGGGGTTAGGCTTAGCGGATTAGGCGTTAGGGTTAGGTTAATAGGTAATTTACTACTCATTTTACTGTATAGCGTAATAAACCTGGTTTGGGGAAAAAAATTTCGCCCCCCGGGCCCTACGACGGGTACCGACACTGATAACGTAACATGGCTAAATGCTTTTTGATTGACAGAAAGATAAGGCCTGTATGCAGATAAATATCAACATAGGCATTAAGGGAAAAGCGCGTGAATCAAAGGCCATAGAAGTTGCATTCGAGCGACAAACGCTTGAATGTCGACTGCCACGTACAGGCATCTGCATGTTGACGGAAGGTATTTTAAATACAGCAGTATGTACGCAGATTATACTTTGTACCGCCTACATGCTAGAGAAGTATATTGTGATGGTCATCCGCCGCAAAATGTAGCTGGTGGATTTTTATTACCTCCATATTATGGGCAAATGTTGAATGATAAACATTTTAACTGATTAATTTATTATTAGTTTTGCCGATATTGCTTTACCATATTCTAAAAAAAATCGTAGACAAATCACATGCAATATACACATTACGCATACTTTTTAGTTTTGTTGCCAAACGCCAATAAAAGAATACAAAATAGATTGTACCTTTTGGAAAAACTCAACATAGTGTTTATTGGCAAGAATAATGGCCCCATTTTAAAACATAACCTCTAACATGCAAACATGGAAGAAATTTGGGTGTGCTGTAATGCTTAATGGAGACAGGGTCCTTGACCTCTGCTTAACTCAATCACCGATATACGTATACTTGTTTTCAATAGCCGAGGCGTTATATCGAGGGATGCTCTGAATGCTTATAAGAAACTGGATAGCTGCCACAAGACCGGTACGGTTCTGCCGACAGAAAAGCGTATGACGCCTTCTGGCAGCTGAATGTGAAACGCGCAACAGGTTCGCCTACATAAACAACTGCGTCGGCGGCAGGCGAGTGCCATGCCGGACTTTCGGAAGCTGCCAAACAGCATACATCTTTTTATCCGGTGCCTCACGACGACTCCGTTCTCTTCCACGATCACCTAGTCGGACGTCAAACTTTGCGGCTGTGGGAAATTTGAATGGGACTCAATAGCCATCTTGGCCGTGGTTTTGATCAGTAAACATAGTATCACTCAGCGTATATCAAGCCTCCTAAGGTGGTATCAGACAATGCACCGGTTATACCAGCGCCATCGCGACGATCGTTCTACACGCTGAATCATCCCAAACGTAGCCTCCAAGTAAGGCATGTTGCGGCGATCCTTCCGTGTCGGCGCGCTGCCGCTGCGACGACCTGTCGATCTCAGCCTGCAGATC